ATTAACGAGTTTGTAGGAAATAAAATTAATAGATAGTAATTAGTAGTAATGGTTTAGCGCATATAATAAAGATTACAAATTTTCTTGTATATTTCTTTTCAAGCACAGTTACAAAATTCAAACAAAATCGCTCCACCGTAATGAGAGCTATAAAAAATTGTAAGAAATGTTAAAAAATGTATTTGATATCTCTGCGTTTCGGCTTACTTCCAAACAGACGTTCCAGGTTCCATTTCTGCCTCAGACAGCCTGATTTCAAGCAGTAGTGATAACGGTTTTCACTTACTAATAAAGATAGCAATGCGTTTTCAAATAAAAATACCTTTTCGGGACATTGTTGCAATATACCAATTAAAAAGACAAACGTGGGCTTATCTTCTGGGCTTCAGTTTTAAAAATTAACTATACGTATCTCAGATTTCAAGAACAATCAATGGTTTACCTATTAATAACTAATTAAACAATTCTTTACAAAGTTGTACATGACAAATACGTATTTAGAAAAATATATACATGTGTGCGTTTTTGTGTCAATGTTGATATTTTTTGTCCGATGTTACTACATATTCTAGAAAATAACTATTGTAGTTTCAATTTTTGTATGCGAAGAGATATGAGTAAACCCACATACCCAATTTAATTTTTCTTTGTTTTTCAATAATAATGAAATTTTATGTGATTCTCCAAATGAATTATAAAACACAATTAGTGTTCGAAATGTATACATAAAATATGCTTTAATAATTGTTGAGCTTTTATTTTTCACGATGTTCAGACGTATTTTCGTTTTATTATATTGGCCATGAAGGTGACAACCTTCAGAACATTAAGCTTTACAAGGAATGGTTGCTACCCCTGGTAGAGGGGTTAGCGGAGTGTTTTAATGGAACTAGTTGTTCACTTCTAAAAGTAAAGTCCGCTTAACAACATGTAAATAACAAATAAAAATAAATATATCTTTCTTCATTTATAACTTAGTAATAAATCAGTGATTGTAATTAGAACTGCAACAAATTCATAATATGCAAACAAATCAGTGTTTAATACAGTCCACAGCTACAAGGGTTAAATTATAATCCAACAACCTGAGTTATCGAGTTTTAATAAATTCTATAAGTACGTAACATAAGTACACACGAAGTGGATGCAATTATTTTGAAAAATGATAGAGAATACATTTTTATATACATATAAGAAATCACAACCACAATTATCGTAATTATCATAAATTAGACAAATAGGAGCACACTTAAAATTATTGTTAACTTTATAATATAGCTTTAAAAATTGCACCTACAATTGGGATCAACACGTTTTAAAAATTTTAGACAACTTTAGTATTCTTTGATTCAAATATTATTTGATATTTAAAAAAAAAAATTTAAATGTTACATATTTATTGCAAGAAGAATTGTGTCATACACTTTAGTAGGACAAGTTTTTTGTGGCTAATCAAATGCCTTCAAAGTAATAAATAATCCGGAAAGATCTTAATTTGTTCTTTGGTGACTTTCAATAGCTTTGAAATTTTACTGGTGAATAAAAAAAATAGTATAATTTTGTACTCTTGGATTTAAATATTATAGGTATTTCAGAAAAATATAAAAGTTGCATACGCAATGCAAGAAGAACGGCGCCATACACTTCAGTAAGGCAAGTGATTTGTGACTTATCAAAATAAAACAATGTCTACAAAATAATAAATCTACTAGGATCCTAATTTGTTCTCTGCTACTAAGTCAGCGTTCGACAATGAGGTTTTCCAAGAATGCGTTATAATTTGGTATCCGAAACAATAAATTTGAGACGCACGTCAGATGGATTACAAGATTCGAATTAACGTCGGAATGTATTAATGGAAAAGAGTTGAAATCAGTACCAGCGATGCGTTCAAGTAGGAAGCTTATTTGTTTTCAACAATTCCCGGATAGGACGACAGTTGGGCTCAATCTTGTGGCGTAAACAATTCGCGGGATACTTGAATATGATGTACAGATTCTCAAAAGAAGAGATTTGTAGTCGGTTGTAAATGTAATAGAAATAGGACCAAACACGAGGTAGGCTGATACACAATACAAATCTGCTAAAACAAATTCCTGATCTGATAATGTAAATTATAGTCACTAGCAACTTTATGATAACAAAAATTAAAAAGTTAAATTGATAAGCTATTTTTTTACTTTTATCATATTGAAAATTAATATATTTTGGTTCAATTTAGCAAATTATATTAATTTTCAATATGACAAAAACCAAAAATAGCAGATGACAAATTAAGATCATAGCAAATTTATTATTAGGTTTTGTTTTATTTTGATAAGTCACAAAAAAACTTGTGTTATCAAAATGTATAGTATCATTTTTTTAGAAATACATCAATTTTTCTTCTAAATACCATTAATATTTAAATCTAAGAACGAAACATTTTACAAACATTTTTAAAACTTTTGATTTACCAGTAAGAGTTTAAGCCAATTAAAAAACAGGCGTAATTTTATCTGTCGAATTTATGATCATTATCAGATATTGATGGTCATTGTGATCGTAAGATTTCTTAAATACTAATAAGATAAGAAAATGCTTTATATACAAAATAAAAACTCTCTAAAAAGTAACTGTAGCCAATTCGTCATATTCGTAAATATGAAATAAAAATAAATATTCGTCCTGTACGATTGGAGCACTAAGTATCATAATTTACAATTAGTTATTTGGCAAAATACACAAAAAATCATTAAATTAGAAAAAAATTAAAACCAAAAATTAAAATTTTTTTAGAAAATAGAAAACCAAAAATTTAGATTACAACGGCTGTGTGGGTTTAGCATCTTTTTGCATATAAAAACTGAAGCTACAATCATTATTCTATAAAATACATAAAATGCGTCAAATATAAAGATGCACTGACAATATTTTAATATGTATTATTTACAAAATTTTTTGTTCTATGATTAAATTTCGCAGAACCCAATAATTTCAATAATTATTAATTTTCCAATAATTATTAAAATGTACACTTTTCTAAATAATTTTAGAAATTCATATGATGAAACAAAATCACCTCAGAAAAAATCCATTGATATATATAATATTATAATTGCTATATCAAAATATCAAGTAAAACGGTCATAAATCTATATAATAATTCGTGACTTATGCAAATCTTGAGCGAGAAAACGTATTATGCGGGATAGGTATATTTCGTAGTGCACGGTCTGTGTAGTAAAGTAGCGTATTATGGGGGAAATCGTATCAAACTTAATCGTCTTAACGAGGTCCTACAGTATAAAAAAATGAAATTACAAAAAATATTCTTATTCTTGAAAAACTTTTCTTATTTAATTTTTGGTTTATAAATATTTTATACGTTTTGGTCATATGACTAAATTATAATTGGAAATACCTCGAGCTATAGATGTTTACTGCTATGTACATAGAAGTCTACAATTCAATTTCAGAAAAAAATATTTTTAATTATTCAAAGTTCCTAAAAATGGGAACATTCCATGGCTCAAAGTGTAAAAAATATTTAAGAGCAAAAAATTATATGAATATTTATTTGAGATAAAAAATGAGGCTCTTAGTTGAAAGAGATGAAATCATAAATAATAATAGATATCCGAAAAAATAAACTATGTACTAATAATAGCTTTTAATTTACTATTAAACATAAATGCTACTGTTCCATTATTTCAAGATTCAGAAGTGCTGTAGTAAGCAATCAGTTAAGTTTCGTAATAAGAAGATATTCGTTTACATCTAAGACAATATGGTTCATGAGACGTTAACGGCGCAAGGGTATAACAATTAAACAGTGCAAGAATGTGGAAACATATGGCGTGATTTCCATGGTTAAAGGATTCTGAGTACTATTCTTAGAGGTTCTTGTAAACAGGTATCAAATGAGTTCGAAGATGGAAATGAGGCGATCTGACACATTATTAATAGACCGACATTTATGTCGTGATATGATTGATTTGGTCTTTTCCAGTTACTAGAGAGAATAGATTCAATGCATCATAAGATTCAGAAATAGAATGTTAGATATTGAGGTAAAGTTTCGTACAACACCGATTAGGTACAATTTAAAGAAATCATTTTTTATTTCATCTGATAGAACCTGAGTCATTTTTTTTAAATTTATTAATAACAATCAGAATATTTTTTACATTTTATGAGTTGTCTTGATATATATTTAATTAATGTAAATCAAAATAACTCTAATAAAATGCAATTAATATTCTAATTGTCATTAATAAATAAAATTTTAAAAAAAATGAAAATTAGGACTACAAAAACATAATTTTCTTCTCATCCCGATTGATTTATTTAAGGTTGTCATGGCCATCGTAAAGCTTAAGAATACCAGAAATGTAAGAATCAAAGGAATTCATATTATTGAAAAATAGTATCGATCTAAATTAGATTTGATTCAAGTTCAAATGACTATAATAATCACGTAATATAAATATTACTTTTTCTAAGTAAATTTTGGTAATAGGTACGTTTTTTCTTATATGTTAGTAACAGTAAAGTGACCATAGGTCCCGTGTTCCAAGTTTTTCTAAAATTTATCCCGGATATACGTAAATCTTTCGTCCCGGTTTTTTAAAAAATAAAATTAAAATTCACAAAAATTATGAAAACAAACAAAAAAGTACTAATTTTTTCAAATTAATTATGAAAAAAATTTAATAGAATTTTGAACAAGGCTCAATAGCAAAACAAACAATATAGAAACAAAAAAACGCAACTTTGATTAATAAAAATAATTTATATAATTCATGGTATCCTTAAATAGTTTTTGAAAGAACCCCCCCTCCGCCTCGCATTTGATTAACTAAAAATTGCCGTCTCGGTTTTGACTTAAAAAAATATGGTCACTTTAAGTAATAGGATAACTAATAATTTTTAAAATATTGATCAAACAATATCGACGATATTATAGTTCTGTGTACAAGGTTATTAAAGTTAGTTTACATATTTATTAGTAAACTCACGTCTAAAATCCGTAGGTCTGTCCTGGTGATGTTCAGTCTGTTCTTGTGGGCCAGGCGTCCTGCAGTCACCTTCCTCGGACAAGCCCCCTTCTAAGCTCTCCTCTTTGACCGCAGCTGGCGGTGACAATGAGGCACTTGCCGGTGAACACGAATCGGTTCGCCTGCCGAGTGCTCCCATTAATCTCTCTTCTGGTGTTGTGAACAACAACGAAGATCTCTGTTGTTGCTGCTGGTGATGATGATGGTCAATCATCATCGGTGAAGAACATTTCACCGACGGAGCAGGTGGCGCAAACGCCGACGGAAAATGCTTCGGGTCAATGAGAGACGGACCAGCGGCCGCCGAACCAGCGAGAGGTCGAAATGCTCCTGTACCAAAAGGAGATGGGTGCAAGAAATGTGGAGGCAGTTGGTGCAGAAGATGGGTGCCATAAGCGGCCTCCATGTGACGAAGACCGAGACCTAAGGGTAAGTGCATTTCTTTACCGTCGCCCATCTGAAAAAGAAGTATAACCATAATCTCTATATACCGGTCAAAAGATTAACTTCTATTCTCATTATAGAACATCCGAAGATGTTTAGATTTATTATATATAAATTTGAAAAATCTATTACATACCTGTGAATGAAATGGTCGTTGTATACGCAATGCTTCAGTGAGACCTCCAGCAGCCTGAGAAAACACCACAAGAGCGGGCGATGGCATATGCGACGGCACATAAGCCGAATTGTCCATCTATCATGAACAAAAATAAAAATAGTTTCAGTTAACAACTATTTGTATTTAAAATAATATAGTTGATTAGAAACGTTCTATGAGACTTATTCACAGAACGAGAAATTTGCAATAATTAAATAACAATAACAATTATTAAATTGGTTCAAATGGAAAAAATATCATATAGAGATCCCATATTACATAATAATTATTTTTAATGAAATATGTTTAGGTGAAAGATCAAATTTTAGTCTAATTCGAATAATTTATTATTGCATAAACTATTATTATGCATTAACTATTATTAAACTAAATATTCACGAATAAAAATCAAAACTTAAGCAATTAGATATGACAAAGATCATGATGAGTTTTATTCTTGTCATATACAGCTTATTTAAATTCATAGAAATGTTAATTAAAAAAGCAAGAACACATATGTTATTCAAAAGTTTTTTTTTAACAGCAATCAGAACCTTACACGTCCTATGAGCTTGGGCTGAAACTTCTCCTCACTTCGTATTTTTTTAGATGGTAACCCAATGGTTAATCCATCCATATTTGATAATATTTGTTATTAGAATTAATCTAATATGGCTGACTTTTTTATGGGTGCAGCAATGCCGGGCAATGGCTATTTTCACTTGGAAACATATTGCTATTTATATTTCCAAGTGAAAATCGTTGTCACTGCTGCCTGACAACAGGCTGCTCGAAGCGGGTTATTCAAAAGTGTCATGCAGTATTTATATTTTTTTAGTTGCATGACTATTATTCATTTATTTGCAAAGTTTCAAAAATAAAAAAGTAATTAGGAAAAATCTGAAGCATAGTTAACAAGGGTCATATCATAATATCCTTGTTTTAACTTCAGATTTATATAAGATTAACATGACATTAAGAAATAGTTTAATTAACAATATTATATGCATAAACATATATAATGTTATATTAGTAAAATAATTGGTATTTAATCATGCAGTTGAAATATTTGAGTTGGAGTATTGTAAATTGTATTGAACTTGCAAAAAAAAATTTACTTAAAGATGTGTATGTTTTAAAATAAATCTATGTGCAGTAATCAAAATTTGAACAAATAAACATAAAATATGCTATTGTTATAAATTGTCATTTTCCACGGTTTATGAAAAATGTTGCAAGTGACAAGTGCAAAAATTAAAAATGTTCATTACATATTTTATAAAAAAAATAGTGGAATGTTAAATAGTACAGTGATAATATAAAATGTTGTCATTAATTTACACGTATAACATAATTGACACTGTTTTCACATTTTATCAAATGTCAATGACAAAAAAGTATTCCAATAAATATATATTAATTTTGCAAAATGTGAAAAATATCAAATCACAGATGTCAATTTAAATATATTAATACTTACTTTATTTTGACCCACTGTTAAAATTCCTCTTTATGTTCACACAAATCCTAAAGTCATTTAATCACCACATACCACATAACTTATAAACAACAGTCAATAATTAAACTAAATCAAAAATTATCACAATTTTATATTCGATCACCACTAGTCCTTTCCTAAACACCTTCGTGATCAGAATTATAACAATCCCTTAAAAATCGCGCTACTCCACCGCACTCGCTGCCAACGCACAGAGAGCCAAGCTCTGACTGCTGAGTCCTTGCCGCGCGTAGCACGCAAGAGCGACATCCCGACGCAGGAACCGCCTCTCGTAGCCCAACACGGGTGGAGCACGGCACGAAGGCGGTCGCAACGAGCACCACACCTACGAGCTGGAACAAAAAAGGTAAATGAAAAATATAAACCGCAGCAAAAGAACGCCAAGTAAGGATATGTGACGAGAGGGAAAGATCGATTCTGGAACTTGAATAGATCGAGTGCCAACTTTTTTTTTGAGGATGAACTACTAGAAAATAATTCTTTGTGCAAATGTTAATTCTGGATAATGTATGTATAAATTGTTATTTGGTATAACAAAAATTCTAAATAATATATTTTTTTTCTTATGGGTTATTTTATTTCATACATAAGGGAGTATTCTAGTCTAGAGGCATGAATGGAACATGGAACAAAAAAGGTAAATGAAAAATATAAACCGCAGCAAAAGAACGCCAAGTAAGGATGTGTGACGAGAGGAAAAGATCGATTCTGGAACTTGAATAGATCGAGTGCCAACTTTTTTTTTGAGGATGAACTGCTGGGAAATAATTCTTTGTGCAAATGTTAATGTGGATAATTTATGTATAAGTTGTTATTTGGTACAACAAAAATTCTAAATAATATATATTTTTTCTTAGGGGTTATTTTATTTCATACATAAGGGAGTATTCTAGTCTAGAGGCACGAATTTTATGTCATTTTTTGTTATACGTTATTAATTAATGTATTGAACATATATAAAAAAAATTAAATTAAAAATAGTCATCTAGACAGTGTCGATTATGTGAAAAACAAAGTATGTATTTAAGTCATATAACGCCTTTAACGCAAATTTTCAAATTAAAATTAGAAGGTTGAAGTGAGGGGGATCTCAAAAAATTGGGACCTGACCAAATTCTAAACAATAGGTATATATTTTTTCTTATGGGTTATTTTCTTATTTTATTTTATACATTTAAGGGAGTATTCTAGTCTAAAGGCATGAATTTTTTGCCATTTTTTGTTATACGTTATTAAATTATGCATTGAAAATATATAAAAAAAAATTAAAATTAAAAATAATCATAAAGTTCTAATTCTAGAACGTGTTGATTATGTAAAAAACAATGTAAGTATATAAGTCAAATAAAGCAAATTTTCAAATTAAAATTAGAAGGTTGAAGTGAGGGTCTCAAAAAAATTGGTAAATGACCCATGATTTTAGCCCTCCAAATATTCTGAAGAAAAATATGTATCAATCTAAAATAATGTCGCAATGGTATAAACTAAGCACAAATTAAAAAAATGTTTTTATTTACAAAACAGTGACATTCTGAAAAAAAAAAGTTTTTCACAACTTTTTTGCTATTCCCGATTTTTTTAAAAATAGTAAAGATCGGCATTTTGAGGAAAGCGATGAAATCCATAAAAAAGACTTTATAAAAATTTGTCTAGTTGAAATGAGTCTAGAAAAACTGAAAAAATCGTGGAAATCGGAAAAAAGAGTTTTGATAAAAACGTCTTAAAGTTTCGCGGAGGAAGCAAACTGGAAAGGATTATCGTGGTCAAACAGCTATACCTCCAAAATTAATTTAAATTTTGAAAAATCCTCTTGTACACATATTCTTGAATTGTTAAACTTCAAAAATAAAAATAAATTAAACCGTTTTGTTTTTAATTCTAGACACATCAAGCTGTCTAAATGTCTAAATAAAAAATATAAACCATGACAAAAAATACGAAGAAAAATGTGTACGAGCAAAAAATATCGATTTTGGAACCAGAATAGATCGAGACCCAATTTTTAAACATAAATTACAATACAAAAAGTCGATTGATTCGTTAAATCTTAATAATTTAAATATAAAATGCTAATATTTTATTGTACAAAGAAAGCCTTAGATAATATAACTATTCTCCTGTTTTATACTTGGGAGTTAAATCAGATAGTTAGGACAAAATATACATCATTTCATTTATTTATTTTATTATATATCTTTAGAAAATATTCCTAGTACATATACCGTTGGGAGTATCTACTAATTTCTAATCAGTATTATATTACCCATAAATATTGTTAGCAGTCTCTACTTATTGTTTTTGTATAAACAAATCGCAGAATAATTACGATATATATGACATTTTCTTATTTCTAATTTTACTTGGAATGAAAATTCATTTATTTCTAAAATAGCAATATTTTTTATTAAAAATATTTTTTTGTTTCAGATTTTTTAAAATACATATAAAATCTTATTACTTCATTAACGCTCAAATCAAGGTAAAAATGAATGATTTTTTATTTCTGAAATGATTTAACGGCTCACCTCTTTCAGCAGTCAAAAATGACACGTCTGTTACAAAATATTGTATGGTCAAATCAAGGAAATGAAAATGAAACATATCAAAATAAAATTAATTAAGAAGTTTAACAATACCCACAAGATCATGTACTTCTCTGGTAACTTCATATTTTAATTTTGCATTATTTATATGTGCCCTATAGTTTTCCTTTTTATCGTTGAAAAATGTAAATACAATGATTTTTTGAACAAAAATAACTCAGAAGTCATAAGATTCATTAGTACAAAAAAATAATATACACTATCGTGTATAAACAACGAAAGTACTTAGTTTAAATAATAGCAATAATTTCCCGTCAAAGAAAAAGAGCATAAACATTGGTATTAATTATTCAATTATCACATAAAAATTGTAAATTCTCCAGAAATCATTTTAAGAACAATTTGCAGTTTCGGCATTATTAACTTTTCTATTATTTGAAACATGACATCACTACTTCTAGCAGTTTAATCATTTACAAATAAAAATATTTAAAATACTTGTTCGGCAACCATTTAATAAAAATAATACTTTTTATCATAATCAGATCTTCACTACGTGAATTGCCAAAAGCAGTTATAAAATCTGTATTTATTTTTAATTTTAATGAACAATGACAAACTTTAAAATAATAAAACGACCCACATTTTTGTTCGTTTTAAATAGATTCTTGACGAATTGGCTACTTTTTTCAAAAAAAAAAACTCATGAAACCTACACTTTACATAAGCATTAGAAAATGATTTGTTAGCAAAGATTTGTTCACCTACACCTGTCTAAAGTAATAAGAATTGCGCAAATAGTATTATTATTAATTAAATAAAGGGAAATATATAACCGAAAATTTTGTTTGTTCGAAATGGATCTGAATCATTGGACATGGCATAATATTATGATCTTTCCTGTAATTAATAAAATTTATGAATAAGCAATATTTTAATACCGCCTTCTCGTGGGTTACATATATGGACCCGTGTATCAATAACTCAACTTTGGTCGGTCCAACTTTTGTGGTCAAATCGAAAAATTAAAGCCCAAAAGTAGCTTATAGAAGTATCGTTTTATTTATATTGAAATAAAATATGGATGTTTAAAAATATCAACCGGTCATGTAATTTCTAGTGATTAATAATTAACAAAATTATTAAATATGCAATATATTAATAGCATCAATATCAGATGTTTTGTTCAAATATTTTTTTAAACATTGAAATAATAAAAATTTCGATTTATAGTCACGCAAAATAGTTTTACATTTTGAGTTTAAAGTTATTTATTGTTTATCAAATAAATTGAAATTTAAATTAAAATCTACAGCACGTATTTCAATTCAAAGACCGAAAGTGAACAATTCGTCCCTGCTTTCTATAAAACTAAAAATCCAGTAATGCTTTTATATTATAAACAAGATACCATAATTACTACTCATTACCTTGACTTTCCAAATCAATATTTTATAAATGTGTTTTCTTCAAATTCTTCCTGACATCTGCCACCTTGTCCAACAAACTAAAATGTGCGTCTCAGCTGAACGTTGTTGGAAGGAGAATCTTCTACAACCAGCTTGTTTCAAACTGCGATATCTGGTAATTCACATTAAAAGTTAAACAAAAGCGAAACTATTATATATGAATATATATGTATATATACTATTATATGACCTTGAATTTGATGTTGATATAATATATATTAGTAACCTATTTTCTATCCCAAACTCAGGACAGTTCGTAAACAGTTTCGATATCTTACTAAATAATATTATTCAAATTTATTTGTGTTTTGTTGTAATGTTGAAAAATATATATTTACTATAGTGCACATTCTCATACGATGTAGAAATAGTGTTTTTATTATTTATAATATAAGAATACCAAATCTTATATACCACTGAATCAAAGATAGAATATTACCCGAAACATATGGATTTCAAATAAATTTTTAAAACATTCATACATTTTTTTATTGATGTAACACCTGATACGTAGAATTCTGTATTGATGATGAGAAATAAATTATAGATGTTTCGAGACAGTGAACGTCAAATTTAAATGTATGAAATAAAGTTTATACAAAAAGCAGAGGGTAGTGTGTTTATAATCACATATTTCAAATGTACAATAAATAAAGTGCCTATATATATATATATATATATATATATATATATATATATATCCACATATATGAATGCATATACTCACACATATAATCTTTCAAGATATGAACACGCCACTCTTTTTCTTGCACTATTTTGTTTAAGGATTTTAAAGTTACATATTTTTCGAGATCATGTTTTTCAATTATTTGTGAACACTGAAGATGAGTCAAAACAAGACTTGAAACGTATGCTAATAAAGACATTCATTCCTCATTATTAATTTTTTTTTCTTATTGGTTGAATGCTCAAAAACATTTTATCGATCATATATACACACACTCATTTAGTAATGTTATGTACAAATTTTATAATTGTTACATTTTTACTTCTATTGAACTTTATATTAAATTAAAAAATAATTTCGTATACACCGGCCACATAGAACGGTACGTTGAAATGTTTTGAGTAATAACAATGTTTCAAAATCTCGACAATGCTTTCTTTTATTTGACGCCCTCCAAGATTCATTCTTACATTTCAATATCAAAATCAACTATTCTTTATAAACAGTACTTCAGATATATATACTATTACATTTTTACTATTTCAATGTTCATATTCTCAACATTCTACAAAATCTTTTCCTATTTTATTTGATGCAACCTTCCAAGAGTTTATCTTTAATATTTGAAAATTATTTAATTTTTATAAATCTGAAATATTTTTGGTTTTAGAACAAAATTGAAATTTTGTTCAACATTCACAAGCGTTCCGAAATAAAACAACAGATTGAATTAACAATTTTTTTTCCAAATTCATTACAAATTCAATCATCTTCCAATGTGATACATTTATATCAATATAAAATGGCACCTTATCAATACAATCATTTTCTCTTACATTTTAAGTTCCAACATGACATAAACTTACATATTGCTATTTTATACATTGTTTTGGTATGATTACTTTTATTATAGTATTTTTAATTTTATATTTGTACTTTAAGATTTATTTATTTTTAGAATTATACAACCTTTCTAGAGAAAAAATATTTTCAACATTGTGCATAAGAGTTTGGTGTTTTTATTGAATTTTGTATGTACAAATACATATGTATCAGTTCACACATTATAAAAATGAAAATATATTACAAAAATATCTGTAAAATACAAATAGAAATAACTATTAGATAACAATGTAATTTGCATCATAAAACACTGAGCTGTGACTACTCATTACTAAATCTATCAACACAATCTTATACTTATGCTTATTATTTTCAGTCATTATAAAAATTATTTGTTACTTAAACTTACTGTCACTAGATAAACAAACTTGAGTATAAGTCCTAATTCATAAAAATATCTATCAATTCTCCATTTAAAATTCAACAAATGACATTGTTACTTATTAGTATGAAATGAAAACAAATGTTAATGTTCAGTGGTCAAGATTGGACTAAATGTCAAAAATAAGATGTCAAAACTTAACTGGAATCATTAAAACTTTCAATTCGTTCAAATATTCTGGCCAAGGGCGAGCATCGTACTAAAATAATTGATAAGTAGAATAAAGTTATACAAGTGCTGACACATAAAGGAAGACCAAGACATCCTAGATTGAATTGGAGACTATTACTAAATTTCACACAAGAGCAGTTTCAAAACTATTTGAAACCTTTAATACAGTATCTCCACCACAAATCAATTCCGCAACGTACAAAAATATTAAATCATGCACTAACAATGCACATGACCTCATATAATCTTTAATGGAACAAATATCACATGACCAAAATAATTTGGCCACTCTATCTTCTTTTTCATAAAAAAAATAAAACTCGGTACAGTATGCCAACTAACAATAGTAACATTATATTGTAAACTGCTTATTAAACACATGGCATTCTATAACTGTTAATCATTTTGTGACCAACGTCCGATGTTTTCTCTCATAGACAACTACACTAATTGTAAGATTGATTCTGATTGTAAATTGTACACTTAAAGAATTCATAATAAAAAATAAAAAAAACAAAGCAATAAAGACGTTATATCTCTTGGGCTTATATCATAATAACTATTATTTACATAAAGATATTTATTAAATATTTCACTTCTTCAATCACTTTAAGGCTTGCTTTAAAAAATCTCTTCATAATTTTTCCAAGTTTATTGTTAAGTTTGGCTTTCTTGGAAGTCATAACAGCTAGGTTTCTTAGTCAAATGAAATATACAATCAACCCTTCTCTTCACGAAAAGGTATTATTTAAACACTAATAAAAAAAAGAAAGACTTAACTTCTTGTGGAAAAAATCAACGGATGTCAATCAAACTTAAATTAATAACTACAGTGAAATATTAATGACTTAGCAGGGAACAATGAAACAATATTCATTGTTTTTATAGACAATCACAAATAGAAATAATATAACTTGAATCCAAATGATCACAGAAAAATAAACTTGTTAGCTTTCAATTCAACTTCTTTGATATCAGCTTAATATTTTAAATTTGTAGCAATATATGTTTTAAATGATTTTTTATGTTTTGTCACAAAAATGACTTTTACAAGAATTTTATATTCCTTGCATAGTACATGATGTTTGTAAAATAGTATTGAACTTTATTCTAGTGCTCCGATCATGCACCGGAATACTTTTGCATGGAGCGCCTTTGCAACAATTTTGACTCACTGGGTGGCGATAGTCCAAAAACATTTGCACTTTCAGATGAAATGTGAAGCATTTTATTTGTATCTCTTAAATTCAAAGGCTCATCTATTTGTGCCTCACAAATACCATTCATAACATTAATACACCCATTTCTCCAATTTTTTACATCCATATCACTCGAATGATCCCGAAAATGTCGCCCAAATTGTTTTGTGGGCAATTTTCGATTTCCACTTAGTGCCGATATTTCTGTTTGAGACTTTGCATGTAAAGCAGAACGATCACGCCAATTTTCAGACTTCATAGACTTGGCATCAGTTATAATTTTGCCATTAGTCATTTTATAGGAATCGAATGAATTATTAGGAGAATTATCAAAGATGTTTTTCTTTGAAGAATTATTGCTATCGTTCAATGGAATCAATTTTGATTGAGTAATTTGTAAACCATCCATATTTTTTAATGTTTCAGCCTCAAATTCTGTAGGTTGTGTATGATTTTCAATATCACTGGAACATTCTTCCTCCAAACTATCTTTAGCATATATGTTTGATCTCTCACACACTAAGTAATCATTGTTCATAGAAAAATGTTGCAATATCACCTTATTAACAGCCATTGCTGATTCAGCAAACTGAGAAAGTTCTCTTGCAGATTGATTCCTATAATACATAATATAGTGAATAAAGGCGTTTTCAATATTTATGTATCCATCCATGCACCTTTAACGATCTTGCAAAACCCATGCAGAAAATTTACATTGACTGAAGTTATTAACTCTAGTTAATAATAATATGAATGATGTAAAGCAACTTACCATTTCTGTAACAGCATGATGTAAATGATAAACCCAAGCACAAATAACACCAATACACAAAATGTAAAGCATTTGTGAAATACATATGTCTATTATGATCGCTAACAGTTAAATATGTTTATGTATAAACAGAAACAATAAAGCAAAAATAAAAAGAAAAACCTTTTACTCATGTGTATGTTTTGCATAAAGATAAGCATATGATCACATGTGAATAATAGTTTGATACAGCATTACAAAAAAACTACTTATGCAGACATTATTTTAGGACAGATACAAATGACAGCATACAATTATGAATAAGTAATAAATGTGTGTAATAAATCGATGCACTAATGAAAGATAGATACCTAATGAAATATTAACAAGCAATTATCAAAACAGAACTACAGATGTATAACAAATCACCACCTAAGAAGAATTAATACTATCAAGCAAATTAAAAAAAAAAAATCAAAGAATTTAATCACTAACCTTCTGATAATTCCAGCTGTTTTCAATGGTCGTTCTTTTTGAGTTCCTTCCCTCAATGCCTCAGTAAGCCATGGATGTTCCAAAACTGCTGTGGCACTTAACCTTTGAGATGGCTCTCGTCTCAACAAACCATTGATCAAATCTTTGGCACCTGAACTTACTTCTCCCCATTCTGCTTCAGGAAAATCATAATAACCATCCTGAATGGAATGGAATAAAAGGTCCTAGAAAAAATATTAGCTTTAGTACTAATTAAACAAACAAATGTGTATTCAAATAGCAAAACTCAATTTGTCATCTTAATTTTTACCTGGCATGATCTACAATTTTCTCCTCTATTCCAACCGCAATCTGACTCACAATTGCCATAGAAAGGTGGATAACCACAGAGAAGTATATAAGCAATCACACCTAGAAATCAAATAATTTCACTTATAAATATTGTATACAACAAAAAGAAAGCTAATCAAAAGCATTATTCAGAACTCACCCAAAGACCAGAGATCACAGCGCTTATCATAATAATTAGCTTCACCCACAAATAGTTCTACAACTTCTGGTGCCATGAATTCAGCACTACCAACCTAAAAGCAAAATTTTATTAGTTGTTGCTTTCGATTTAATTGTTATTGTACTAATTAAGCGTATCGCACTGAGTAAATTAGATCAACTACTTTTCACAGTATACTAACATATATTAACCACACACTATTAATCATATTAATTATTTTTCATCCAATTGTTAATTGTTTTCACACTACACAATTGTTTTTTACATACTTCATAAACTAAATATACTCACAGGTGTCAACAGTTGTGGGGTAGCCAAAGGTGAGGATAAACTCGTATTAAATTTTATTCCAGATCCAAGATCAAAGTCACAAATTTTTATAGGACACAGCGTATCTTTATTAACACATAGAATATTCTCTGGTTTCAAATCCCTAAGAATGGTTTCTCACTTTAATTTACTAGCACACAAATATTGATTATGATAAATTAAAATAATAACTTCTGTATTAATATTTTATTTAGTAATAAAGAAAAGTAAATTGCACAATGCACTGAAGCAAATTATTATAATTATCTACTACTATAGTGAAACATTTTAACAGTACTTTATTTAATCATTTTTCACAAAATGAAAAAAATAAAAGGGAAAAATTGTAATAATTGAGTATTTTTCATTTTAATGCTGTGATTATAGTATGCCATAATAATTAGCCAATTTTTGATAGGTTTTTTTGAAAAGATTTCTGCTTTAATTCAATACTATACCTATGTGCAATTCCTTTCTTATGAAGAAAGTCTAAAGCAGAGGCCATTTCCTTAATAATTTGCGCCGCTTCATACTCCGAGAATGAAACATGTTCTTGGATACGTGCTAGTAGTTGTCCTCCATTAATCTATAAATATCAATTATATGTAATAAAACTATAAATAATAAAAACTTATTAGTAATATTAAGATTTTATTTCCAACCTAAAATTATGTTACCTTTTCAAAAACAAGATAAAATTTCTCATCATCTTCAAAAAATTCCATCAATTGAATAATTCCTGGATGTCCTTGGCAATGATGAAAAGTTTCTACTTCACGAAATACCTAAATATAAGAGAAATAATTTATAAATAAATTTGAAATGCATAAAAAAAATTACTTCTATTTTGTAATAAATTTAACTGTTTTTATTATATGAACAGCAATCAGAACTTAAGAATTCTAAACTAAGGACTTAAATAACATCGGTTTTATAGATGGCAACCCAAAGGTTTACCCTACTTCTATGTGATAAATTTTTATTATTACAGTTTTTACAAATTAATTATTGATGAATTTGTTACTAATTCAGCAATACCAATATAAGAACTATTTTTACTAGGAAACATATTGCTATCTAAATTTCCAAGTGAAAACCGATATCAATACCGCTTGAATTCAGGCTGCTCGAGGCGGGTATCGAACCTGAGACCTCTGATCCGAATCCCATAGTTCTAACCATTAACTCACGGGCGAGCCCAAGATTTAAATAAGACAAAAATATTTACCCGAGCTCTGGCGTGGCCCGGAACCTTGTCTATTATCTTCACAGCATACTCAATGTCCGTAATGATGTTAACACACGTTTGTACACTGGCGTATGCTCCTTCACCCAACACTTCTGCCGTCAGTTTGTACAGGTCTAGGAAAAAAAATTAAAGTATTTCTATTGCATGTCCAACATATGTAATCATTTAAATACAGTTTACAAAAAAAAAAATTTAAAAAATTCGTCGATCCTAAATTGCAGTCTACGAAAATTGAAAATAGGTTTAAATTATATCATAAACTTAAATTTTATCATAAACGAAACATTGAAACAGTTATCAAGATCATACACGTCCTTGGTCGTACGCATGAGCAATATTTTAGTGTTACAAGTAATGCTTTGTCAGTATAAGATCAAATTTATCTTAATCTTTGATAATACCCAGGAAAATAATTAGACGTTCCAACTAAAGCTTTATGATATAAAATTTTATTCCATAAATGTATATTTTATATTTTACCGATTACTCATAGAAAATCTTGCGTGGCGAAGGCATTTCCGATAACGCAATTAACAGTCATAAAATTTTGATAATTTTCTCTTCTCTTCTCTTCTCTTCTCTTCTCATCTCTTCAAAGCAATAACCATTTCAAAAAATAGAATCAACGTTAACCAAATGCCGCCAACTTGTTGATCAAATTAATCATTTGTCGGTTGGAACAACAATGTCAAATTGAATTATCAACTTACCTTGGAAACATGAAGACACCAAAGAAGACCCTGTACGCTTCTTTTTCTTACGACGTCTTCTAGCCTCTTCCTGACGCCTCGAAAGCTCGGCTTGTCTTTCTGCTTCTGTCATTGTCACTACGTTTTCAGTCTCAGAAGGCGTCGAGCCTTCCGCACTGCTATTCCGGTTAACTTCTGCAAAAAATATTTTTATTTAGTTACATTTATAATCATTTGTTAAATTAAACAGTCCATGGATGATTAGAAGTGAGACTAATAATAATTAAAGAATAAAAGGGATTTCAAGAATATTAACCTAACCTTCCATTGCGAAGTGACAGCACACAGTGTGACAATGTGAAATGTAATTTTGGTTACTCGGACCTCATTGTACTAGCTTGCAATACTGAATATTTTAGAGTAATAACTGTTATCGGTAATGTCAAGGTCAAGAGTAGAATAAAAATTGAACTGGACCTTACATTGTCATGTAGACAAAGATAGAAAAATTTGAAATTCGCACTATGAAAGTGCGAATACATATTTAGATGAATTAACCATATATGCTCAAAATAAACACGCATAAGCAGATTGTGAGATTTGATTTCCCGATAACTAGGATTCAGTAACAAACAAGTAATTAATAAGTTATTCATTTTCACGTATTACTAAAACGTAATCTTTACATACTTACTCCAGTTTATTTAAAGTTCTACAGTTATCGCTATTTTTATATTAAAAACAGTATTTTAATGAGATACTAATTTTTATCATTATTTGATATTGCATATCAAATATGCAAATAATTTTTTACGTAATGGTATACAATTGCAATAATTTCCACACGTAATGATTGGCACACGAATTACCTTATCAAGTTTTCAATTATATATTGCATTATCATCAGCAATAAAACAAATTAAACAATCGCAAAAATATATTCAATAATGTGTTTGTATGATATTGCACGATGCACTAATATGAGCAATAACATATTATTGAATTAATGATGCGGCACATGAAATCCAGCCACGTATTTCATCATGCGACCCCTTATGGCAACATTTAGGTCTTATTACACATAGAAATTTTATATATAATAAATTTTAATACATATTAGTGTATCAAATCATTAGCTCATAAAGCAAATAAGATTTTTAAGTAAATTAAAAATTAAGGAATTTAAAAAAAAACATGTATTCAAACTACTTTCAAAATGTAGTAGACACTTGGTTTCGGAACAACGTAAATCTAATAATCGTTGCCTTTAGGCAAATTGCTGAAACCTATCCCGTACCAATTATTTTATTAATTCAAATTTAAAAATAAAAAAAAATACATTTTTAGAGAATTTATATATTTTTTTTAAAAAAAAAAAAGCAATCACGATGCATAGCTATTTTAGAGAGAAAATATCGAAGCTCGTAAGCGCTGCGTCACAGATCTTCAGTCGAAAATTATAAATTTTGATGCGGAGAAAAATAAACAAAATTTGTACTTATGTTTAAAATTTCTATGAGGTATCTGATAATTTGATATGCATATTACCAATGATAATTTTGGTAAATCCGTGCTCCCGAACCGTCGACGAAAATTTGTATCCGTACATACGTACACACACAGAATTTTTTCCTAAGTATGCCAAAATGTTCATAAACTTTTGAAACGTAAAAATATGCAAAAATTTTCATTCTAGACTTTTTTGCGATTACTATAACTTACCCCACGACAAGTTAATAAAATGTAAGTCGTGTTAAAATACAATAAAGCAGCAAAACAATATGTCGTAAAGATGTATAATCTATATCGCGTTCTAATACATCTACCTATTTTAAAAGTTCATTCATTATATGCAACTAGATATAATCACCTCATTTCAAAAATACTCATCATGCGTCGTCGACGCATCGTTATTTCCCCACTAACATTTATGTAAACGTGCCAGAAACATTTATTCTAATACATTACTCGTACAATTCGGGACAGTATTTCCCGCTCAATTAATAGACAACTTATGGTTAGCGGCTGTCCTGCCGCACGTGGCCCACGAGTTATAGATCGCAAAATCGTAGAATCGGAGATCTCGAGAGCTAATAAAACGTTCATTTTTAAGTGCGAGCCTTGAAAAAGACGACAATTTTGACGGTTCAAGAACTTATTGAACAAGCTTGTACTACCAGAATAGCAAATGATACGAAATGGGTTGCGGAAGTGTCTCATGTGAACGTGCGAAGAAAGAAAATGAATAGATCTGAGCACGCCTTCGCATACGTAGATGACCGAATGCGTTAACGCAGGTCAAACACCGCACTTACACGGCACTGCCGTCGCCCGCTGCCTGCTGCCGTTGCCTGGTTCCTCGTCGATGTTGTTATTAATAAGTGCGTTTCTACTAGTGATGTGCCAAGTCGAATCAAGTGATTCGAATCATTCAAATCAAGCCTTTAACGACGTGATTCGAATCAGATTTTACTTGATTCGAATCAACTCGTATCAAGCCGCGAAATATTTACTGTGTACATGTATGAACACAAATTTTCATAAATATAAAAAAAATGTTTTAATTTAATTCAATATTATAATAATATAAATAATAATAATAATAAATATAAAAAATAAATCTTGAATTAAATCATGCGAGTCACCCGGCTTTAATACGCTTAAATGTATCACACGACTTCAATTTATATGACTTTAACCGCATTCATTGTCTAACAATACCATCCGAGTTCCTATGACTCAAACCGACTTATTCCGACTTCAAGTCGTTATGAATTCATCCGAGTTCCTATGACTCAAACTGACTCATTTCGACTTCAAGTCGATATGAATTCATCCGAGTTCCTATGACTCAAACCGACTCATTTCGACTTCAAGTCGATATGAATTCATCCGAGTTCCTATGACTCAAACCGACTCATTTCGACTTCAAGTCGATATGAATTCATCCGAGTTCCTATGTCTCAAACCGACTCATCCCGACTTCAAGTCGTGATGAATTCATCCGAGTTCCTATGACTCAAACCGACTCATTTCGACTTAGAGTCGATATGAATTCATCCGAGTTCATATGACTCAAACTGAATCATTCCGACTTGAGTTCGAAACATGTGTCCGTGTTTTAGCGTATCGACTTATCGAGATGCAGTGCGTATGGGTCTTTATTTTTGACTAAGCGTTGAGAGCAAATTTGTTAATGAAATATTAAAAACTCATTTAGATAATAAATACGCGATCTAGATTTTAATTATTATCAAAATAAACTACACAACGAGTTTTATACACATACAAAATTATCATATTTTAATTATGCAAGTAATGGCAAAATCACACAATAATATCAATCTTTACAGTAGTGGATTGAATTTTAAGTTATTCGTGAGACGTTAGATTCAGCTCCCTGTTTAGATTAGATCTAAACAATCAATAATATACACATGCATTCGTTCGACGTAAGATTAAGAATATTGATTTATATGCTTTAGCGATAGAGAGAAGTGTTTGGTTATATTTTACTGTAAATTCACTTGAAATATTAGTTATATTTGTAGCTAGTTTATTATTATATATATATAATATAACTGTATTCATCTCTGCACTTTTTGGAATTAATTGCTTACTAAATTAATTAATTCACTTATAAAATTATTAAAATGATATTATTTCTTCTCTTAAATTATAATTGTTCATATATGAACTTGATTCGAATTGATTCGAATTGATTCGAATCATGATTCGAATCAGGTTTTTTTCTGATTCGAATCACTCGAATCAGAAATTTTCGAGTCGGAACACCACTAGTTTCTACTATTGCAGTCGAGAACCGAGAGTCTCGACTTAGTTGAGATTCATATATGCATGACACAAAGGCAATGTGCGTGCTATAAATTATTTGCAAGCGATCAATGACAACAACTCTATAAACATTTAAATTTATAACGTTAAATTGCTTCGACTACAAAATCTCCAAGTAGTACTAAAAACTTCTGTTGGATAAACACAACCTGAAATGTGTTTACTACGAATATAGATATACTGATAAGATTTGTTTTTATTCGCGCATATGTAGATATTTATATACATGGTGTAACCGTTATGCGAAAGAATTGCTACAAGCAGAAAACACTTAGAAACAATAATACATTCAATTTTTGCCTATTACCCACTATTATTGATTTTTCAATTTCATCAAATGCAGTAAATTCTGCGATGCAACTCGTTAGCTACATTCTGAAATATCTTCAAAGATTTTTAAAAGTTTTACATAACATCACATTAATCATAACAAAATAGATAATAATGAGTTATTGTTGAATATTTCCTGTTGCCATAGTAATAATTTTCTTCATATTTGACATATGAACAAATTATTTGTCATCAGATATGATATGACATAAAAATATATTTTTTTGATGTATGATCGATGTATCATGCAAATCAAATAATTTCACTAAAATTAATACATTGTATATATAAATACAGTAGAAGTCCTTTAGTCCGGCTTGCTCGTGACCCCTGTATCAGACTATCGAAAGTTCCGGACTATCAGGCAGTAATTATAAAAACAATTAGGTTAATAATTAAACAACGAAATCAGTAGGAATACAAACAAGAAAGGTTATTTTACATTGATTAGAGCATATATTTAAAACATTTTTAAATTTTAAATTTATAGCTGAAACATTTTTGATTTTTATAAAAAATAAAATTTTATGATTTCTAGTTTCTGATTGAGAGTTAGTGCTATGCGTTTTATTTTCGTTTTTCACCTTTTTTGAATACCAAGGCTTAATTTCAGTAGAGTAACTTAAAAAAAACTTCCGAATACTTCGTAAAACGTAGGGGCTACGTATTTCGTAGAACATACTTCGTTCATAAACCTAGACACAAGGGAATTTACTAAGGACAACGATTGCCAAGAAATATCGAGTCCTTGGAGTCCTTGGAGTCCTCTCTTCGGGCGTTTTTATTGGCTATGAAAGTACATTTTTGTGCAAAAACTAAATTTTCAAAAAAAAAGCGGATTATCGGGCATTCCGAAGTGTCGGGTGCCGGACTACAGGACTTTTACTGTATGTATATATATATATATATATATATATATATATATACGAGGTGTGTTCAAAAAGTACCCGGAATTACTAATAATTAAATTTCGCGGGTCTGGAGTGTCTGATTGTCAAAATTTTTTTTTA